AGCAAATGTTTTGAGAATGCTGAGGGCAATGAATGTACAAATGTGCTTTACACAAATGAAGTATGTATGGACTGTGATAAGAGTTGTATGAGCCCCTAATAAAACGATTCAAAAAAATAAAATAAAAACAAAAACAAAAAGCCACAATCTCGGAGACTCATAGGGGCAGCTCTCCCCTGTCCATAGGGTCGTCATGGGGCAGCACTGACTCGATAGCAGTGAATTTGGGTTTGGGATTTGATTCGCATGAGATATTCAGTTACCTACAGTCATAAGTGAAGGAGATGCTGCTACAGGTCAGTGGGAGCTTAGTGGAACTAAAGATGGAATTTGGCCCCATTCTCTCAGCAGACAACTTTGGAGGACAGAGGCACCCAGGCTAAGAATGCCTTGCGGGAGCAGATCCCACTCCTTGTTAAAATGAGCATCACCACCCTTGTTTGTTGTAACCTGAAACAGGAGCTGAGCTCCTATAACTTAACAGGCATTCAGTGTACATTTATTGAACGAATGACTTTTTTTATGGATCTGTCTTCCTCAAACTGCCCGCCTGAAAATAAAAGCAAATATACCTACTCCTTACTTATTGACTTTCTCATTATCTGACATTTCATCTTCATGACAATGGTAAAAAACAACCCTATTTTGTGCAGTAAACAATGTGTCTGGCAGTAATAAACACTAGGCTCTAGGCTGAGCACCAGTGGCTTTGATGGTTAAGGCTATGGGTCAACTTGGCTAGGCCAGTTATCTAACAATGTAGTCATTCTCCGTTTTTGCATAACACTGATTTCACATGACACACACACACACACACACACACACACACATAACAGTCAACGAGTCCATTTTGACTCGTAGTGACCCCATAGGACAGTGGTTCTCAACCTTCCTAGTGCTGCGACCCTTTAATACAGTTCCTCATGTTGTGGTGACCCCCAACCATAAACTTATTTTTGTTGCTATTTCATAACTGTAATTTTGCTACTGTTACAAATTGTAATGTAAATATCTGATAGGCAGGATGTATTTTCATTGTTACAAATTGAACTTAATTAAAGCACTGTGATGAATCACAAAACAGTATGTAATTATATATTGTGAAATACTTATTTCTAATGACAAATAAATGAAATTTTGTCTTAAACATGGTGTAGCATGGGTAACAGTCTTCACGCTGAGTACTTGTATGTGGGCGTATCTGCATGTGGGTGGACCCACCTGGAGACGCATAAAGGAGCGGTGTCTTAGTTCCTAAGAAAGGGTCATTCCACCCCCAAAGGGGTCTCGACCCACAGGTTGAGAAGCACTGCTATATGACAGGGGAGAACTGCCCCTGTGGGTTTCTGAGACTAACTCTCTAGGAGTGGAAAGTCTCATCTTTCTCCCTTGGTGCACCTGGTGGTTTTGAACAGCCAACCTTGAGGTTGGCAGCCCAATATGTAACCACTATGCACCCGGAGTTTGGAACATAACTATGTCTTAAGTGAGGAGCAGGTATACTTAGATGACACTCTTCTGAGTGCTTTAAACATATTAACGTATTTACTCATTTTCACAAACCCATCAAGTAGATGCTATATCCTAATTTCACTGATAAAGAAACAGGTACTGAGGGGGTAACTCGCACAAGGTCGCACAGCTAGAAAATGGCAATGCCAGGACTAGAAGGCAGAGCCCATGTTCTGATTTTAAGCGCATTGGAAGAATGCAATAAAACTTTTAAATGGGTAGTACATTTTGAGATCGCATTGGCACTATTGCATGGGCATTACTTACTCATTTGCAGGGTCCCCACGTGGATTAAGCGTCCAGTGAATTCCCTGATCATTCGAGGAGCTCTGCAGGCATAGTGGTTACATGCTGGCTGGACTGCTAACTGCAAAAGGACCAGCTGCTTTGTGGGAGAAAGCGGGGCTTTCTAGTCCCGTAAAGAGTTAGTCTCAGAAACTCACAGGTCCAGTTCTACCTTGCCCTGTAGGATTGCTATGAATCGCCATCGACTGGACTGCAGTGAGCTTGGTTTTACTAACTCATTGCGCTGCTAACTCCAAGGTCAGCAGTCACGCCTGCAGAAGGAGGAAGCTTTCTGCTCCATAGTTAACAGCCTTGGAAACCCACAGGGGCAGTTCTACTTTGTCCTATAACAGTGGTTCTCAACCTGTGGGTCGCAATCCCTTTGGCGGTCGAACGACCCTTTCACAGGGGTCGCCTGGTTCATCACAGTAGCAAAATGACAGGTATGAAGTAGCAACAAAAATAATTTTATGGTTGGGAGTCACCACATGAGGACCTGTATTAAAAGGTTGAGGCATTAAGAAGGTTGAGAACCACTGTCCTATAAGGTCGCTATGAGTTGGAATCGACTCGATGACAATGGGTTTACTTGATGACTCAATTTTGTAGTTAGAATTTTGGTAGCCTTTAATTTCCCATTATAAAAAAATATCCAAAAAAAACAACAACAAAAAAATGTATCATTTACTTTTTCTAACGTAGACAAGCTACTGTTTTGTGCACTAACAATGCATCCCCAACAGTAAGAAACCCTAGGCTGATGATGATTCAGGTTATGGGTCAACTTGGCTAGGTCATGATTCTCTGTGATTTACATTAAAATGTTGGTTTTTAAAATACAGTTTTCAATGTAAGTAATTTTCTTGCAAGGGACATGAGTTCATCAAATGTAAAGAAGGGAGTCAACTTGTACATATCAAGTTCACCGGGATTGGAGCAAAGCTCCAGCTTTCTTCCTCACCTTGCTATCCCCAAGTCAGCCAGCCTTAAACTCCTTTGCATCTTTCCCGAAGGTGACCCTCCCCCACCCCCAATACACTCGAGGTTCTGAAACATGACTGCCTAGCAACCAGAGCCCCCCAAGGCTCAGAGCTGACCTCACCTTCCTGAGGAAGAGTGGATCTTTAACTTTCCTAAGTGTTTTATCAACGAAAACACGACTCAAATAGTTGCCCCCACCCAGCCCAGGGTTTTCCGAGCCTCCTTCCCAGCCTCGGACGAGGCAACGGGCTCGAGCTTCCGCTGGGCAGCCGCTCGTATCAGGGAGACCTGTGAATGAACCGAGACTCAGACGGGCCCGGGGGTGGGAAAAGCCGCCGGGGGAACAGGGATCGATCGCCCGCGAGGCCCACGAGAGCGCAGGGAGGGATTGGTATGTCCGGGATGGGGCGGTGACAGCTGCGACCCGGCTCCACACTCTCACCTTGAACATGTTGCTGGCAGCCGCAGCTCCGGCGCGGTCACCCCGGCTTCCGCTCCGCCCACTGTGGAGAAGCGGCTACGGCGGCTCGTGAGGACCCGGCTTCAACCGCCCGCTGATTGGCCGTTGGCGCGGGTGAGCGCGGTACAGCCCACTGAATCCCTTGAAGGTTTTCCCTTACCTCTCGTGACGAAAAGAGGCGTTGCGGAGCAACGGTGAGTCACAACCCGGCAGGAAGCAAACACTAGCCCCGCCCTCCTCGGGGCTCCGCCCCTGCGCCGGTTGTTGCCTGGCAACGAGAAGCAAGGCACAGTGTGGGAGACGCTGGGCGGCGGCTTTCTAGGCTGCCGCCATTGGGAACCCGGAGGTGTGGGCCGGGGATCCTGTGCGCGGAGGCCGCCGGGCGGGGGCGCTCGATGGGTCTCTGGCAGCTTCGGAAGCTTCGCAGCCGGAAGCCGCCAATCTCAGGAGCCTGGATTTACCTCACAAAGGTTTTCAGGTTTTTACTGTGGGCTTGTGCTTTCTGAGGTTTTAAATTTAAGGGACTATGCCACTCCCTTTGGCCGTAAAAGGCATCCCCCCTCCCGCTTTTTTAAAGTGTACGCCTCTCACGGAGTTTGTTCCTTAATAAATAAAAAACCTCAGTGCCATGGAATCGATGGCGACTCCTAGCGACCCTAGAGGACAGGGTAGGATAGCCACCACCACCACCCACCCCACCCCCGTGAGTTTCCCAGACCGTACGGGAGTAGCAAGCTTCCTCCGAAGCTTCCGGAGGAGCTGGTGGTTTTGAACTGCTGACCTTGCAGATTGCAGTCCAACACAGCCAGCACGCCATCAGGGCTCCCTTTTGTTCCTTAATACTGACCAAAAAAAATGTCAAACCTACGATGGAGTCCATTTCTAAGCATGGCGACCCTGGGTCCTGGGGCTGTAAGTCTTTATAGGAGCAGACCTGAATACTAGTGAAAGTAATGGTACTATCTTACTAAAAGAATAACAAACACAAGGGGCCCAACTCTGAGCAAGATGATTATTCCCAATTTATAGCAGAGGAAACTGAGTAGAGAAGTAACTACCAAGACCACACACATGAAATCTAGAAAGGCAGGGTCCAAATCCTGTCCATCTAGCCATAAAGCCTGCGTGCTCTGGCTTCAACTATCTTAATTGGGGAGTCATTTAGGTTTCGTTCTGTATTGTGCATTCTAATCCCATCAAGGAGCCCTGGTGGCATAGAGAGTTACGCCTTGTGCTGCTACCTGAAAGGTCTACAGTTTGAAACCACCAGCTACCCCGAAAGAGGAAGGCAATGAAGAGGTTGTTTTTCTCTAGAGCTAGTTAGTTTCAGAAGCCCACAGGGCCAGTTTTACCCTGTCCTGTAGGGTCGCTGTGAGTTGGAATCGACTTGATGGCAGTGAGTGAGAGAGAGACAGGCCCTCAGTAGATTTGGAAGATGGACACTGAAAGATCATAGGAGCAGGCTGCAGTTGAAGGGAGGAGGGGATTTTCTCATAACTATAGGGGTTGCTGTGAGCCATAATCATCTGGATGGCATTGAGTTTGGTTTGGGGAGTTTTGGTAAGGGAAAGCACACACCTTAGGGAACAGTGGGGCATCCCAGTAAGAGGGGGTTAGGTCTGTTAGAGCATTTGGTTGGGTGATTTGGGAAAGGAGGTCACAGAAGCTCTGGATCAGGTGCTATCATGAAGTGGGATCCCACCAAGGCCTAACTTTGAGTACCAGGACAACTTTATAGTGTTAAGGGCTGCTTTTTTTTCTTTCCCAGGAGAATTGTGTCTTCCAAGCCATTTGCATCCCTAAGGAGAACTGTTGACTCACCAGAAGACTCTGTTTTGGTAATATAATCTCCAACATATATGAGTGTGACACATAATGCTCATTTAATACCAGCATTCTTAGTTCAGGGATGATGTGAACTTGGATGGGGAACAAAAGTGACAACTTTATTTTCACAAACCTCCAACTGCACATCTACGATGTTTTCCATTATGGTGTAGGCAAGAGAGTGCAGTAGTACTGGCTGTACTGGCCACTTTGGTCCCAAATAGAAAGCATAGGTATTTTCCTATCACATACCAATCCCAGCAGTGGTCAAAATAGCATCAGTGCTCATTTATGCTTTGAAAGTTCAGTCATTATTAGATCTCCCATTTTACTTATCGAGGAAGCAGATACGGCCCATAGTACAGTATCATAATTTTGTTTAATATATATATATATATATATATATATATATATGATTTCCATAAAATTAGAGCTCTTGCTGATCCAGTATATTTTTCATGTAGGCATTTTGGAAGACTAATGCTTAGAAGGCATCTAGTCATAGGGATTCATGGCGCTAAAAGAAAAGATAGAAAGGGTCTCTGATTTGAGTCAGAATCGACTCAACGGCAGCGTTAAAGTTGGTGTCATTGCCCAGATTCAGTGATGACTGAGAATCTGGGACCTGCATTCAAATTTGATTCATGCTTCAAAGGCTAGTAAGTTAGGAGTGGAACCAGATCATTTAGCACACACCCTTCTTGATTTGCCAAGGAGAGAAGTGAGTCGCTGAGAGGTTGAGTAACTTGCTCCAAGTCTCACAACACTTTGGTGATGAAAACTTTTGAGGCTAGCCTAAAAATGGTCCACTGTGTTCGGCACTAAGGAATACATAGCTAGCAAAATGCCTCCTACCCTCAATGAGCTTGTTGAATGGACATCCACAAAAGAAAATGTCAACTAATCTGAGAAGTACTATGAGATGTATATTTTTAAAAACCCCAAACTCAACTGCCATTGAGTCAACTCTGGCTCATAGTAACAGAGTAGCTCTAGTGGGTTTCTGAGGTTGTGAGTTTCTGAAGCTGTGGGTTTCTGAGGCTGTACATCTTTATGGAAGTAGAAAGCTTCATCTTTCTCCCACGGAGTGGCTAGTGGTTTTGAACTGTTGACCTTTCAGGTAGCAGCTCAACTTGTAGCCTGCTACACTACACCTCCAGGGATCAGTATAAAAGTATCTTAGAGAATGGAATGTACAATTATGCTTGAAAGAGAGAAGGGTGTAGGGAAAGAGAGAGAGATCCTGAAAAATGCCGATAGGAGGCATCAGTTAGCTGGGGTCTTGCCGGATGAATTAGTATTGGCTGGTGGTAGGGCTGTCACTATAGGTCGAGAAATGGTATGATCAAAGACACAGATGGAAAACATCAGCTGACTGTGGCAAGTTCTTTGTTCTTTCAGAGTACAGAGAGGGTGGGAGGCTTTGAACTCGCAAGAGAGTGGAACAAGATTGTGATCGGATACCAAGAGCTCAAGTAGAAAGAAATTATTTGGGAAATGATGATAGTAACATATGTATAGGTGTGCTTAATACTATTGAATGAGGGATTGGTATATGATTTGTAAGAGCCCCCAAATAAAATGATTAATTATAAAAAAGATCCTGATCAGACTTGACCCCCATTTTCAGGAGTTTGGACTTTTGCTTGAAGGGAACGAGGTGTCACGGCAAGATTTTAAGTCAGGGAGTGGTAAGGTTGGATACCTGCTGTAAACAAGTTAATTCCAGATTCATAGTTGAGGAGGAGGAGGAGGAAAAATTGGAGGCAGGAAGATCAGTTATAAAGGTACCAATAAATATTTTTAGTACCCAAAGACTGTAAACTGTAAGCGATATTACACCCCAGTGCAACTTGCCTCTTTAATGGATTCTGAAATTAAACCAGCAATCACATGGCACTTGAGTCTAGTTCAAATAATGGTGTGACCTTGAAGGCTTCATTTGTGTACTTTCAGAGTACCTCATGATAAGGAAAATGAATCCTTCCTCAAAACCACCAGTGACTGGTGTTCCAAAATCAGATACACACGGCTCGAAGAAAGACCAGAAAAAGCCGGTGAAGCATGTGAAATTTAAGTAAGTACCCATCTTTTTGCCTTGGGTCATTTTCTGCAGCTGGATCATTTCCCTGCAGTATTTACCCAATCGAATTTCAGATATGCCTTGTTTTGTAAATTAGAGATAGCTGTGTTTTTAAATTGCTTTTTCAGATCAAATAATCTGATTGTATAATTTACAAAGCATGTTAACCTGCATCTCTTTTGATCCTGGTACAACCTGGTGAAGCCGTTTTATTATATTTTATAAGTGAGGAAGCATCAACTGCAAAAGGTTAAGTGACTTGCTGAAGGCTACACAGCTTATGAAAGGCATCAGTTAGAACTCCAACCTCGGCTCCCATACTTCAGGCCTGTTCTAGCCTTCATCTCTGCTTTCTGCCAGAAAATGGTGGCATTATGCAGGAGTGTCTCTTTGCACATAGCCTTGTGAGGGGTCATGGCAATCTATCAGTGCTGAGACATGATCAAAAGTAGAATAAATTCATTGATCTAACTGCCAAGTGGCTAGTCAGACCAAGATTTAGGGAGGGAGGCGCTTTTTCTTGGGTGTGGGCATCAGTTCCAGGAAAAGAAAACGCCTGTGGTAATATAGACTATTCCACATTTCATTTTCCTAGCACTTGAACAAGTTCCAGGAGCCCTGGTAGCAAAGTCGTTCATGTGATGGGTGCCTAACTGCAAGATCAGCAACTCAAACCCACCAGCTACTCCAAGGGAGAAAGATGAGACTTTCTGCTTCTAGAAAGAGTTACAGCCTCAGAAACCCAAAGAGGCATTTCTTCTTCTTGTAGAGTCATTATGAGTCAGAATTGACTTGATGGCAGCGAGTTTTGTTAACTAGTTGTTAGGTGCCATAGACTGGGTTCCGACTCCTAGCGGCCCTCTGCACAACAGAAGGAAACAGGCCTGGTCCTGCGCCAGCCTCACGGTTCCTGTGTCTGAGCCCATGGCTACAGCCACTGTGTCAGTCTATCTTGTTGAGGGGTTTCCTTTTTGCAGCCCTACTACTACTTCGCCAAGCATGATGTCCTTCTCTAGGGACTTGTCTCTTGTAACATGTCCAAAATAAGTAAGACAAGGCTTGCCATCCTTGCCTCCAAGAAGCATTCTGACTATACTTCTTCCAAGATCAATGTCTGTCTTTTGGAAGTCCATGGTAATTTCAATGGTCTTTGCCAATATCATAATTTAAACCCATCAATTCTTTTTTGGTCTTCCTTATGTAACTTTCACATCCATATGAAGCTATTGAAAATACTATGGCTCGAGTCAGGCGCACCTTAGTCTTCAAAGTAATCTCTTTGCTTTACAGCACTTTAAAGAGTTTTTGTGCAGCAGATTTACCTGATGCAACTAGTGTTATTAACGTCTAAATAGGATTGGAATCATTTTCAGTCATGGAGACTTTTCTTTCTTTTTAATTTTAAATCATTTTATTTGGGGGCTTTTTCCTGATTTTTAAAAGTCATTTTATTGGGGGCTCTTATCACAATCTATACATCAATTGTATCAAGCATGTTTGTACATATGTTGCCATCATTTCCAAAACATTTTTTTTCTACTTGAGCCCTTGGTAGCAGCTCTTTTTTCCCCTCCCTCCCACACCCTCCCACCCTCTTGAACCCTTGATAATTTATAAATTACTTTTATTTTCATTATTTCATCTGTCTCCCTTCACCCATTTTTCTGTTGTTCATCCCCCCCAGGATGGGGGAGTTAATGTTGATCATTGCTATAGGATCCCCCTTTCTCCCTCCACCTTCCCCCTACCCTCATGGTATCGCTACTCTCATTATTGTTCCTGAGGGGGTTGTCTGTCCTGGATTCTATGTGTCGAGAGCTCTTATCTGTACCAGTGTACGTGCTCTGGTCTAGCCGGATTTGTAAGATAGACCTGGGGTCATGATAGTTGGGGGTGCAGGGGGGAGGAAGCATTAAAAAATTAGAGGAATATTGTGCGTTTTGTCAGTGTTATACTGCAGCCTGGCTGGCTCGTCCCTTCCTTGTGACCCTTCTGTGAGGGGATGTCCAATTGTCTATGGATGGGATTTAGGTCTCCATTCCAACCCACCTCATTCACATCAAAATGGTTGTTGTTTTGGGTCTTCTGATGCCTGATACCTGATCCCATCGACATCTCATGATTACTTGGGTTGGTGTGCTTCTTCCATGTGGGTTTTGTTGTTTCCCTACTAGAAGGCTGCTTGTTTTAACTTCAATCCTTTGAGACCCCAGAGACTATATCTTATAATAGCTGGGAACCATCAGCATTCTTCACATTAACTTATGCATCCATTTTGTCTTCAGCAATCATGTTGGGAAGTGAGCATCACAGAATCCCAGGTTATTAGAACAAAGTGTCCTTGTGTTGAGGGGGTACTTGAGTAGAGGCCCAATGTCCATCTGCTACCTTAATACTTCACCTATAAACATATGTACATAGACTTATATCCTTATCGTTATATATTAACATAATTACATGTATACATTTCTATGTTTATACCTCTATACATGTTTTTTTGCCTCCTAGTCCTTTCCTCTATTTCCTTTTACTTTCTTCCGGTCCTACATCATGTGTGACCTTCTGTTCTTCCTCTCAGTGATATTGCACTTGATTGAACCCCACCAGGCAGACATTCTATGCCCTCCTGGCCATTGATTTTAAATCTCTTGTTCCCTTGTCCCTGGATTTGTTGCCTCCTACCTCCTTTTCCCCCACCTCCTCCTCTCCCCTGTTCCCCTGGAACCGTCAGTCCTGTTGTTTTCCCCATCGGGATTGTTTATTCTGCCTTTCTTATATAGGTAGACATGGGGGTAAAAAGAGGGAACAAATCACCTATGAATAGTTCCAGGTCTGTCTGCTGACCCTTATAAATGATTTCCGATCAGATCTAATGCAGTGCCAAGCCCTGCCCCCCGAGTCTGAAGTCTATTTTCAGAATTCCTCAGGGACTTAGTTACTTTGCTCCCCTTGCTGCCCTGTTGCACTCCCTACATGTTTCACCCTGCTGTGCATGGGGCAGACCTGGCACACTTTCCACACAGTGTCTCCAGTGCT